AATCGAGGAAGGAGAAGCTTGCTCCAGTGTCGGCTCCAGCCCCAGAGCTCGCTCCAGTGTCGGCTCCAGCCCCCGAATCCAGCCCAAAGAGGGCTCCTGTTCCCAAGTTTAGCCCACGGAGGGCTCCTTTTCTCGAGTTTAGCCCATGGAGGGCTCCTGTTCCCGAGTTTAGCCCAGTGAGGGCTCCTGTCCCTGAGTTTAGCCCAGTGAGAGCTCCTGTCCACGAGTTTAGCCCAGTGAGGGCTCCTGTCCCTGAGTTTAGCCCATTAGGGCTTCTGTCCCCGAGTTTAGCCCAGTGAAGGCTCCAGTCTCCGAGTTTAGCCAAGAGAGGGCTCCAGTCCCCGAGTTTAGCGCAATTAGGGCTTCTGTCCCCGAGTTTAGCCCAGTGAAGGCTCCAGTCTCCGAGTTTAGCCAAGAGAGGGCTCCAGTCCCCGAGTTTAGCGCAGTTAGGGCTTCTGTCCCCGAGTTTAGCCCAGTTAGGGCTCCAGTCCCCAAGTTTAGCCCAGAGAAGGCTCCAGTTCCCGAGTTTATCCCAGAGAAGGCTCCAGTCCCCGAGTGTAGCACAGAAAGGGCTCCAGTTCCCATGTCGAGCCCAAGGAGGGCTCCCGTCCCCAAGTCAAGCCCAGGGAGGGCCACTGTTCCCGAGTTAGGCATACGGAGGGCCAAGGGGTGAGGCCAAGGCCACGGAGAGTTTAGCCCAGAGAAGGCTCCAGTCCCAGAGTTTAGCAGAGAAAGGGCTCCAGTTCCAATGTCGAGCCCAAGGATGGCTCCAGTCCCCAAGTCAAGCCCAGGGAGGGCCACTGTTCCCGAGTTAGGTCTACGGAGCCTCTCTAAAGACGATATTCTCCCCAAGGATTTTTTTTGGGGGGCGGGGGTAGTATGGGTCCGTCTGTAGTGGCTGAGCCGAGTGGCGAGGCCAAGGCCACGGAGGCCGTCCGGTCATGGCCTTCTGAGCTCCCTGCTCCGCCATGGCCTCCTGAACTGTCTGCTCCGCCATGGCCCCCTGAACTGTCTGCTCCGCCATGGCCCCCTGAACTGCCTGCTCCACCATGGCTCCCGGAGCTCCCTGCTCCACCATGGCCCCTGAGCTCCCTCTGCCGCCATGGCACCCTGGACTGCCTGCTCCGCCATGGCTCCCGGAGCATTTAGTTCATTTGTTCCCAGGTGTGTCCCATTATTTCCCCTGTACTTAAACCCTGTGTTTCTGAATTTCCCTTGTCCGGAATTGTGAATGTCTGTATATGTCTACCCTTGCTGCGTGTGTTTTCCTGGTTCCCTGGATATGATTTAAGTCTATATGTTTGAATTCGACTCTGCGTCTCTTCGTTCCTCGCTCCGTGCTCCTCACAGTAACGAACCGTGACACGGGGTTCCTCAAATGCAGTCCTGGAGGGACATCTGTCATCTGACCAGGGCCGTTTTAACCATTGGGCTAGGCGGGGCTGAAGCCCCGGGGCCCGAGCAAGGACGGGGCCCGTGATTGGCTGTGGAGTAGATTGACTGGAGCGCCGATCACCAAAGCCACCACGCCCCCCACTTATTAGCGCTGTTATTTAGTTAAGCTTTTCCATAAATTCCATGCATTACCATTTGAGACTGAAACGTAAAGTCTGAATTTGGTTTACCAATCAAATGCATTTATTCTATATTTGACTTTTGAACTATATGCGCACGTATCTATCAGGTGATTGCTGCCCAGTATGTCTGCATTCACCTCTTTTCACTTTGTTCTGGAGTAATCTGGAAATGGTCGCGCAAAGAACAACATTCAATAAGTAAAAATGTCAGCAATTCTAAAAGAAAGAGGGGCTCAAAAAACAAAAAACTTCAAATACAAACAACATAAAAAACATGACAGCTATCAGGTTATTTTACTAAAGCTGATGATGGAGTGGAAGTTGCTGGAACAGCAAGTGAACCGGGCACACTGAGCAGATAAAAACAGTGTCATCGTCCACACAGATTTTTAGGTTAGTTTGATTATTAACTGGATTTATATTGTTTATGTGATTGAACAAACTATATTCATTTAAGGGTTGGGAGATAATCCGGTAGAAATATATCAATCGTTGATTGAAGCGCGTCACGACTGAAAAAAAGCTCCTGTATCTCTCCAGATCTTGATAGGTAGCCTAAATTCAGAATCAGAAGACAAACAAAACTCATGTGATTCCTGTTTCCTGGTTCTGTGTTTGAGTGACGTGTGTAAAACAGGTTTGTCTGCGAGTCTGTAAAACAGGTTCCTCATTCCTACTCGACACACCTAGCTGTTATTAAAGTAAATACAAAGACCTTGGCTTGTTGATTCAGGTGTCTTTCATTAAAGATCAAACTAAACTCTTTGGGAAAGTGACTCCTGGACTAGAATATAGAACACTGATAATTTAATGTTTACTAAATGTCAGTCTCAGACAAACAATCCAAGATTATAAGTTACAAAGAAGCAGGACCACAGCCTAAAAAACTGCAGTAAAAACTGCATCCTAATTATTAGACTTTTTTGTAGGACTGAAAACTGTGTCCAGATTTACAGTTTCTTCATTATCACACTTATGGATCTGTTTTCTAAAGGGCAATGCAATGTTGTAATTAATGCTGTTTCACTAGTTCACACTGTATATGAAGAGTTTATTTGCAAAAACAGATAACTCCGTTTTTTTTTAATTTTCAAAATCATGTTTTTTTACTGTTATCATGTTTTTATTGTGTTTTGTGTTAGTTAGCTGTATTTTTTAGGTATTTTTTAACCTATTCAAAATAACCCAACTGCAGTTTGATTAAGATTAATTGGAATGCACAATGAAAAAACATGGTTCCTCATTCCTGCTGAGTTTAGTTTCGACACAGACCACAGCCTTACAAACTGCATAATAATTACTACATTTGTACTGCAGGACTGAAAACTGTGTCCAGATTTACCCTGCAAACAAGCCTGCGGTGGCCCTTTACGGGCCCACTTAGGGCTAGCCTAAGGGCCCCCAGGAAGACCTCACTAGGACCACACAGGGCCCGCACTATTAATCTACAACAATAAATCTGTTTCACTATTAACACTTTTCAGCTACTGTAACTTAAGTCTTTGGGAAAAACAGTTATTATACATCTGAAATGGATGCAGTCTCCACACAACTAATGTCTGTATTGTCAAAAATGTACAGTAGTCAAAGGGATTTCAAATCAATGGATATATTAAATACAAAATAGAAAACATTCAAGTCAGGTTAATACGGCTAATTTAACACTCTGAAAGGGACTACATATTATCTATACAAATATAAAAAATAATACAAATAAACATAAAAATAATAAATACCAAATTATTACTTTGACCTCTGCTGAAAATATGTTTTGATGTGCTAAAGTATTCATTGGCGAAACTCACTCTCCCCCCGAGGTCTCTCAACTACCCTTACCAAAAAGTAGTATACTTCAAGTTTATTTTAGTAAGTATACTTAAGTAAAGTTCAAGTATATTTTAAGTATACTTTATGTTGTAAGTATACAAATATCAGTGTACTAGTAGTATACTTGTAAGTGTACTATTTCAATACTCCTTGGGACTAAATTGGCCCACTTTCTAGTATATAAAAGTATACTTTTAACTAAAAGTATACTTT